CGACCTGCATTAATATCCTTTAGAATATAGCCAACTTGTGCACCATTTATCTCTGGTAATATATCACTACTCTAGCAATTCAATGAAAATACGATTACATACAAGTATAGTGCCTAAATTCTCAAACACCATGCTTTTTGGCCACTGTATCTCCTGTGTACGTTGTTGACAGTGCCTCGAAACTGGAAAAGTATCGCTTCATTTGTCGGTAACCAAATCAAAGCGAAGGAAGATCATTTGTTGCATTTTTGTTTTTTTCATGTAGTTTTCTGATAGCGCAAAACTCACTCACTACTTAACTGCCAGCTATAAGTGTAAGGTTGCCAGTATTTCCTCCTACTTTTTAGGCTTTGGTATCCATTGATCGTAAGAAACGAACTGGTGAATTTTTTTCATCAGAGATAAATGTTTCGATGAATAGCTAAGTCAATGTCAGTATGCTGGAAAGCAACATGACCTCCATTAGAATGCAAAGATACAGAATATACCATTATAAACTTCCTTTTTTAATGACTCTGTCTTTCTACAATGGCTGCTTATTTTACAGAAGGGATAGTTTTTTCCAAGTATTTTGCTCGAATTTTAAAAAGACAAGAGAATGATAGGTCACTAAACTCAAAAAAAAAATTCAGTCAGTGTAGGTGAGCCTCCTTATCACGTGCAAAATGATATATATATAACATGAAGGGATGTGTGATGCAATCGTACGAAATGGCCCTAAACAAGGGAAAAACCTTAAAACTTTCAAGTGGAAAAGGAAAATCGTCAAGGCTGCGCAAAGCTTATCTATTGACCAAAAACATCTATCCCAATTAGTTTTTTTTAACATTTGTTAAGAATGCGATACAAGTGTGCATGTGCTACAAGTGCCTTTGCAAGTTTTCATTTTTAGTTATCTGAGTGCCTTAACTCCAAAGAAAAGAAAAACTCGTTTTGCAGGTAAAACGAGGACATATCTATGGGCGTGCCCGTTAACCCTCATCCCAGTGACGAAGATTTAGAGTGGCTTTACCCAAGTTGCTTATTATATGGAAAAGAGTGTTTTAGAGCTTTTCGCTCGATTGTAAACTATAGATATATATGGTATGTCGCCAAATCCAATTACGTGGCGATGAAAATTTTTCTTTCTGGCCGAAAAAGAAGAACAAGATATCTTCTGTTCACGTATGTGGGCGTGCATTTTTCATCTAAAATGATGGACAGTAGGGATACATAATGCAATGGCACGAACTGGCCTTGAAACAAATTCATCAGGAGACGTTTCATAAGGCTTGCCTGTTGTCCTTGGTATAAAATATCGGTATCTGCTGAAGAGAACATGAAGACCAACAGTGGAATCAAATATATATCAGAAAACTGAAAAACATACGCATTCTTTGTTTTTCAATCGCATTGCTGTGAAAAAGAACTTTCAAAAAGTCTGAGATTGGAACAAATTCACTTTGGTAGCTTTAATTCCAATTTTGAAGTCATGGATAACGTTCTAAAATTCCAGATTAGAGAGGGTTAATAAGAAATTACTTACTTCTGCATCTTTATTGTATTTAATAAGTCTTAAATCTATTTTCTTTGTCCTAGATTGTAGGTATTACAAATCGCTGATTAAACACGTTTATCAACTACCCCCTCCCCCTGCCCTCCTAATTATTGTTTTCGTGTCCAGACTCTTGTGCGTAGTTAGATGAACCCAAATTTTCTTTGTTTACCTTTCTACGAAATACCCAACTGCTACTGAGCGGGTTAAAACTTTGTTGAGATCTAAATCTTAGCTTTTGTTCCGTTCTAATGAATTTCAATTCTTGAAGTCCATCAATTTTCTGTTGTCTCTTTTAGAGACGAGATTTTGATCTTCAATTAGCACTTATTTCGACTCCTGCTTGTTACCCATTTCACAAATTTAGTAAGATGTGTTTTAATGCTCATTACAGTTTGACTTTCCTTTCCCTTTTTCAGACATTTCAGCCGGAGAGGAGAGTTGTAAAAGTGATGATCCTTCAGAAAATAAACGTAGAAGGCTTGCAGGTATTATAATTGTCAAATGAAGAAATTTCATAGTAAGGTTTCGTTTTAATAACTTATACTACACTTAAAGTGGTGGAGTGTCCTAGCGCGGAATCTGGATGTGTTAGGTTCTATTCCTGGTGAGGACTCAAAATTGTTCCTTTGTCTCACGCTCGTGACAGGACAGTCAAACTTCTTTTCTTTCCTTTTCTTCTGCCAATTTGTCATTCTTCTTCAAGAAACAGTACTCCGCAAAATTTTAGGAAACTAACATTCATGAAGTTTTTGTTGTTACTTTGGCTGCTTCGTTTCCCAACATTATTGATCCATGATGAAATCAATGCTGGAAATTTAATCTTCCCTGCAATTTAAGAAGAGCCACCGAGAAAGGTAAAACTTAATGAAAAGAGTGTGGGTTTGTTTTTTGTAGGGGGGAGGAGAGAGAGCGCGGCGACAGGGGTTAATTACCTTAATCCTTTCATGCCAAGGAAACTTAACTTGAGTTTGTGTGGTTTTACAAATTTGGCATCGTGTGCATATTAATTCTTTCAATAAAAGTTAATACCTGTTTTTTTTTCTTAAATATTTCTTGGAACCGTTGAATGTTTGATAGCATTTTCCCTCTGGCAAGAAGAAGACCACCGACCCCCCAATAATACATCTAGAAACTCCTGCCTTAACCCCCCTTCCCTCCCCTCCAGCCCAACCCCGATTTTATAAACCACACCCAACCCACATTTCCTAATCGGTCCAGCAAAGGTCTAACGCTCGAAACATCAGCTTAAGGATCTCTCTACAGAGGCCAATTTACGTTATCAACGTAAAAACCAAATTATCACTGCTAACTGAACATTTGATTCACGTTTTTTAATACTAGTAAGAGTAATCCTATAATAAACTCCTGTTAGAAATGGATGCTAACCCTTATGAACTTGCAAGTTATGTTGGAACAAATTTGTTGTTTTATACATGAAACCTTGTTTGTTAAAGTGCCATGAGTTGTCTCTGTAGCACATGATCCCTTCGCTGAGTGCGCTATCATCAAAGGAAACTGCTGAGAAAATGATGAACGTTGTATATCTCAAAATTATTGAATGAACCTGGTCAATACTTTATGTTTCGTTGGGGCAAATTCGAGTTGGGAAGAGGTTTAGTCTCCATGCACACTAATGGAAGACCCAAAGAGTAATGTTCCCTTTGATGTAGGGAAGAGAACATTTATCAAGCTGTTTGCTTTCATTTCGGCCTTCTGTGCAGTATCCCTACTGGAATTTCGACCTGCATTAATATCCTTTAGAGTATAATCAACTTGCGCACCATTTATCTCTGGTAATATATCACTAATCTTGCAATTCAATGAAAATGCGATTACATACAAGTAAGTGCCTAAATTCTCGGACACCATGCTTTTTGGCCACTGTATCTCCTACATACGTTGTTGAAAGTGCCTCGAAACTGGAAAAGTGTTGCTTCATTTTTCAGTAACCAAATTAAAGCGAAGGAAGATCATTTGATGCGTTTTTGTTTTTTTCATGTAGTTTTCTGATAGCGCAAAATTCACCCACTACTTAACTGCCAGCTTTAAGTGTAAGGTTGCCAGTATTTCCTCCTGCTTTTTAGACTTTGGTATCCATTGATCGTAAGAAACGAACTGGTGAATTTTTTTTCATCAGAGATAAATGTTTCGATGAATAGCTAAGTCAATATCAGTATGCTGGAAAGCAACATGACACCCACTAGAATGCAAAAATACAGAAAATACCGTTGTAAACTTCCTTTTTTAACCAAATCAAAGCGAAGGAAGATCATTTGTTGCGTTTTTGTTTTTTTCGTGTAGTTTTCTGATAGCGCAAAATTCACCCACTACTTAACTGCCAGCTTTAAGTGTAAGGTTGCCAGTATTTCCTCCTGCTTTTTAGACTTTGGTATCCATTGATCGTAAGAAACGAACTGGTGAATTTTTTTTCATCAGAGATAAATGTTTCGATGAATAGCTAAGTCAATATCAGTATGCTGGAAAGCAACATGACACCCACTAGAATGCAAAAATACAGAAAATACCGTTGTAAACTTCCTTTTTTAACGACTCTGTCTTTCTACACCGGCTGTTTATTTTACAGAAGGGATAGTTTTTTCCAAGTATTTTGCTCGAATTTTAAAAAGACAAGAAAATGATAGGTCACTAAACTCAAAAAAAAAAAAATTCAGTCTGTGTATGTGAGCCTTCTTATCACGTGCAAAATGATATATATATATATTTATATATATATATATATATAACATGACGGGATGTGTAATGCAATCGTACGAAATGGCCCTAAACAAGGGAAAAACCTTAAAGCTTTCAAGTGGAAAAGGAAAATCGTCAAGGCTGCGCAAAGCTTATCTATTGACCAAAAACATCTGACCCAATTAGTTTTTTTAACATTTGTTAAGAATGCGATACAAGTGTGCATGTGCTACAAGTGCCTTTGCAAGTTTTCATTTTTAGTTATCCGAGTGCCTTAACTCCAAAGAAAAGAAAAACTCGTTTGGCAGGTAAAACGAGGACATATCTATGGGCGTGCCCGTTAACCCTCATCCCAGTGACGAAGATTTAGAGTGGCTTTACCCAAGTTGCTTATTATATGGGAAAGAGTGCTTTAGAGCTTTTCGCTCGATTCCAAACTATAGATATATATGGTATGTCGCCAAATCCAATTACGTGGCGATGAAAATTTTTCTTACTGGCCGAAAAAAAAAGAACAAGATATCTTCTGTTCACGTATGTGGGCGTGCATTTTTCGTCTAAAATGATGCACAGTAGGGATACATAATGCAATGGCACGAACTGGCCTTGAAACAAATTCATCAGGAGACGTTTCATAAGGCTTGCCTGTTGTCCTTGGTATAAAATATCGGTATCTGCTGAAGAGAACATGAAGACCAACAGTGGAATTAAATATATATCAGAAAACTGAAAAACATACGCATTCTTTGTTTATCAATCGCATTGCTGTGAAAAAGAACTTTCAAAAAGTCTGAGATTGGAACAAATTCACTTTGATAGCTTTAATTCCAATTTTGAAGTCATGGATAACGTTCTAAAATTCCAGATTAGAGAGGGTTAATAAGAAATTACTCACTTCTGCATCTTCATTGTATTTAATAAGTCTTAAATCTATTTTCTTTGTCCTAGATTGTAGGTATTACAAATCGCTGATTAAACACGTTTATCAACTACCCCCTCCCCCTGCCCTCCTAATTATTGTTTTCGTGTCCAGACTCTTATGCGCAGTAAGATGAACCCAAATTTTCTTTGTTTACCTTTCTACGAAATACCTCACTATTGCTGACAGGGTTAAAACTTTGTTGAGATCTAAATCTTAGCTTTTATTCCCTCCCAATGAATTTCAATTCTCCAAATCCATCATTTTCTCTTCTCTCTTTTGTTCCGGGATCAGGCTCACACAAGATTTTCGTCTTCAATCAGCTCTTATTTCGACTCCTTGTTACCTATTTCACAAATTGTGTGAAGTGTGTTCTCATTACAATCTGACTTTATACTTATAGTGGTAGAGTGTTCGAGTGCAGAATCCGAAGGTGTTATGTTCTATTCCTGGGGAGGACTCAAAATTTTTCCTTTTTTTTTTCACGCTCGTGAGAAGACAGTAACACTTCTTTCCTTTCCCTTTTCTTATACCAATTTGTCATTCTTGTTCAAGAAACAGTACTGCGCAAAAATTTAAGAAATAAAAATTCCTGAACTTTTTTTATGTTATTTTGGCCGCTTCATTTCCCAATATTGTTGATCCATGGTGAAATAAATGCTGGAAATTTATTCTTCCCCGCGATTTAAGATGAGTTACAGGCAAAGGGAAAAATTAAAGAACAGAGTGTGAGTGTTTTTTTTTTTCATTATCTTAATCGTTTCATGCCAAGAAGACTGTACTTGAGTTCGTGCGATGTTAGAAACTTGGCATCGTGTGCATATTTATCCCTTCAGTATCATATTTGTCAGTGTATTTTAATTCTCTTAACAGTATAAATTTCTTTTCTCTTTTGCAGACATTTCAACAGGAGAGGAGGGTTGTAAAAGTGGTGATCCTTCAGAAAATAAACGTAGAAGGCTTGCAGGTATTGTTATTATCAAGCAAAGAAATTTCATATTAAGCTTACGTTTTAATAACTTATATTATATTTATGGTAATGAAGTGTCTGAGCGCTGAATCCAAAGGTCGAAGGTTCTATTCCTGGGGAGGACTTGATCATTTTTGTCCAACGCTCGTGGCAAGACGATAAAAGATATTTCCTTATTCTTTTATTATAAAAATTTATTATTCTTGTCCTGGTTTACTTCAGCTGCTTCAATGCCGAAAATTAATGATCGATCATAAAATGAAAATAAGATATTGTTTTGGAGCTTCTCCCCTCGCACTTAACTCGGACTTTGCGCTCGCCCCACCCTTTCCTCCGTTTGCCTGAAAAGCGCCAAAATATTTTGAAAACTTGGTGTCGTATGCTTACTCATCCCAGTAATAAAAGTTCATGTTTGTTTTGTCTATTTTTCAGAACCGTTGAATGTTGAGAAGTGCCAAGAGAAGCTAAAATCTTATTATGACACCTTCAGTAAGGTGAAAATCGTTCCATGGGACGAAAGCTCTTCCATTGAGATTAATGAGATCTACACACCTTTGAATTGGGTGAGAGATCACAGGAAGCCCAGCGGAGTGACACAAGAGGAACTTGAAGACTATACCGACATGTTCAAGGGAAAACCAACACGAATGCTTGTTTATGGTCGGCCTGGAATTGGCAAGAGTACGTTTTGTAAGAAGGCTGCATATGACTGGTCGAAAGCCTTAAAAGAAATCCTAAAGAACTTTAGCATTTTGCTTCTGATTAAGTTGAGAGATGTGTGTGATTTAGAAGACATCCGTGATGTTTTACGTGCGTCTAAATTGCTGGCCAGTGATGGTCCGATCTCAGTTGATAGTCTCTATGATTACATAATTAACAATCAAGATAAAGTGCTTCTTATTTTGGATGGCTACGATGAGTACAGCTTTGCAGAAGAACACTCACCCATCCTTGCAATTTGGAAGGGTGAGCAACTAAGAGATTGTCACGTTATTGTCACCACGCGTCAACTTAAATGTGACGAGTTAATAGGCCCCAGCCACGTTCAGTTAGAAGTTCAAGGATTCAAAAGCTGGGAACGAATAAAAACCTTTGCGAGAAAATTTTTGGTAGGTGAACAAGATCTTGACGAGTTTATATACTACATAAGAGAAAAACATCTCAATGACATGGCAGAAATACCTCTCTTCCTACTGATGCTGTGTAATTTGTGGAAAGAGAAATATCACGTAGAACTACCAAAATCACGGGCCGACATATTCACACAATTCATTCAAACTATACTGAATCACAAAGGTGGAAGTCACCAGCCTATGCCATTTCAGAAAGTGACCTCGACAGAAGCTAAAGAAGACCTTAGTAATCTTGGAAAGGTTGCCTTTGAAGCACTTCTGCAAGACCGTCTTTACGTACGCTGCAGCGAACTCCCCAGCAATATTTCAAGAAGTTTTCAAAAATTAAGTGAAGTTGGGCTTTTCCAGATTGTCAATCTTACGAGTCTCAATCCTGAGAAAGGGGCCTATTTCATTCATAAATCCGTACAGGAGTTCCTTGCAGCCTGGCACATAAATGAGGAAGTGTTGTCGATTAAAGGAGAAAGTACGTCTAGTCTTTCCAAAGTTGAATCATTTGTAAAGATCGCGAAGATGAATGAAGTTCTGAAATTTGCGTGTGAGCTGTCAACAGAAGCCGCGTGTGCAGTTTTTCATCATGTAGGGTGTGTTGGAAGAAACGAATTTTTGTCGAAGTGTGATTTTATGAAGCTGCTTCGGGAGACTGTACCACCCGCGTTGTCTCAAAATCAAAAACTTTATCTTGGGCTTATCTCGCATAGCTACTTTTGTTGTTCGGCCGAGAAGAGGCGAGATCTCTACTCAGTGTTTCCCTCTTACACCGGTGGTGTTTTGTCTCTTGATTCTAACCAGCTGAACATTACTGCAAATGAACATTTGCTGAAATCTGGCATGATACCCGACTTTATCTTTTTTCCTCCCTGCGAAAAGTCTTCAGTGAAAAGCTATCGAGACTTGATCACTGTAGCGGAGGACACAGATGCTGTCTTTTTTAGTTGTTCGGGCGAAAAGAAAGCCGCAGATTTGCTGAAGAATTTCCCGTGTCGTTCTTTGAGCGAGTTCTTTTTGAAGAGAGAGGGAAAAATCATCGTTTATGTTGATCAAATATGGAAAGAAGGTCGTGACACTTTTCCGACCGAAATGCTGCGAGAGCTCATTTTGCCAATAGCAGAGTCTACTCAGGTGAAGCGTTTTGGTAATACGTTGAATGAACAAGACAATGAAACAGCTTCGTGTTTGACTAAGAACACTGATAGCATCACTGTTCCGACTCCTCAGAGCCTTTCCTGTGTGACGGAGATTGATATTAACGACATAGAAAGGCTAGAGATGAAGATGCTGGCTGATTGCTTACCACTTTCCACTGCTCTGCGATCCATAGTTATTATTGGGAATTTCATTGATGCTCAGTTGACAAAGTCCCTGGTGTCTCGTATCATCTTCACCGAGAGACTTCACACGTTAGTACTTGTTAATATCAATTTAACAGCCAAACCTGCTGCAGCCATCGCCAGATCTCTGCACCAAGTTCCTAGCCTGATCGCTCTCAACTTGTCACAAAACCCTCTAGGTAAAGGACTAAGTGTTCTCACTCAACATCTCAGCCGTGTTCCTCGCGAGTGGCTGTGGCTTTATAATGTTAAAATGACAAAGCAACAAGTGAATGATTTGAGTGCAGCTGTACGTCAGAGTAACATCTTCCGTTGGTCGACACGCTACCACGTAAGTTTTGTGATCTTAGTTTGCATATGTAGTCATTATTCATGTCTATTCTGTTCAATTTACTGTGGTGTTGTGTTAAGAATTTTTACGCCCTTGGTTCGCGGAGCAAGTGCGATATTTCCTTTGCTTTTATAGAACAAGATTGAAGTTTATCTCATGAAAAGTCACCACCAGTCAGTTCAAATCAGTTCTATACATTTAATTTGTAATTACGTTGAATTCTTTCATGCGACGTGTGGAAGTACCACGGTGTGCAGTTGTATTCTTATTTCGCTGTTTACATCGCTGTCGCTTTGTTGTTTGCATTTACTTCTTGCTGTGATTCTGGAAGAACTGGCGGAAGTCTGGACCACCTTGTATTAGTTTCTCGACGTATAAAATCACTTTGTCAGGTAGCCCGCAGAAAAATAAGAATACAGAACTGAAAAGACTGTTCAAGATGAAAACAAGACATTTTTCAGTTTGCTTCTTTTGCGGTATATGCCAGTCGGTAAATGACTATCCTGTTTTCTGGAAAGTTGAGCAAGAATCAAGATACCAAACCATGTGCTGAAATTTTCTTCCAACTGGACTTTTAATCACGGTGGAACTTTCAGTATTAGTAATAACTACTTTACATTAACTAGCGTTTTTTAGATTTTAAAAGGATGCCAAAATGAGAGAGGAAATCCAAAGCGAAGCAAATATTGTGGCTTTTTAATGATTTTAGCGATTTCAATTAAAAGGACTTACATTCCGAATTACTGAAAAGGTTTACATGCAGTAGAAAATTTTACAGTCACTCTTTTGTCGCTACCATTTAATCTGTTAAACTTGGACCACTAAGTAAATATTCATACCCTTTAAAGAGGGGACATCAGCAGTTCCTCGTTCTCACATGAACTACTGAGCCTTTTCTTTAAAAAGGTTACCTTAAGTTGTATTCTCTACATGGGCTTGTCAGGTCAAGTACCTATAAGACTCTAGGAGAGGTGGTCACTTTGATGTTATGTATATTTTTCAAACACTTAAACTTATTTCTCCAATAACATAATCAGTATAGGTCCCACCATGGATGTAATTGGAATAATATTATATCTAAATTTTGGTGAGCCTTGTGATGTTTGCTTACAAGGAACATTCCTCAATATAAAAGTTTTTTTTAATTGACTCAGTCATAATAAGTCAGGCATAATTTCTCTTCATATAAAAAGTAACCAGGGTAAACAAGTTGGAGTACAGGTGTATGTTGTTTGACAAGATAATGTTGATTGTTGGTTTGTGATTTATGACAGGATGACAAAGGGAATGTCAAACCTGAAGAAGAATGGCCAACAGATGAATACTGGAGATATACCTGGATCGAATCAGAAGAAGAGTCTGATCCTGGGTCAGTTACTGCCTCAGGTGACGAGGAGGATCCTGGGTCAGTTACTGACTCAAGTGATGAGGAGGATCCTGGGTTAGTTACTGACTCAGGTGATGAGGAGGATCCTGGGTCAGTTACCAACTCAGGTGACAAGGAGGAGCCTGGGTCCTGCCTGGAAACGTAACTGACTAGGACTGACTCAGTAGACTGCCTGCAACTAAGGAAACTTACCATTGGTCAGAACTGTCAGGCCAGACCAGTCCATCCATTGATAGAATTCCCTCAGATCTGCTCAGTTAGAGAAGTCAATACCTAAGTTGTAGTCATTGTGTTGAACAAAATATGAAAACAAGTCTGGGAAACCTGATTAAACAAAGCACATTTCAAGATGATTGGTCAGTTTGGTAGGTTTCTGATCAATGGTAGGAGACTTCAGTGTTGTGATCAGATGAACAAACAATCAACCGTTGGATGAAAGATAAGGAAATATATTTTTAGAGTCACTTAGCTTAGGTAAATTGGTACCCTCACCAATATAGTAACTCCCTTCCACAACATCACTAAGAACATGTGGGATGTTCCTCTGGAGTCAGAGTGTCTCATCCTTGAAATTGATTGTTGGATTTGGATATATTTTAGGTTATTTTTCGATGTCCAATATTCTTGGTTGTAGTTTTGATTTACAGCTTTGAGCTTCAAAATTTGGTTTTCATGTTATTGAGTAAGAGAATGAGGTATTTTTGTCATTTTTTAGTTTAGTAGGCTAATGGTTATGTGCTGCCTTGGCAATTGATTAATTCATTAGGCTGACTGTCATTTCTTTTGATGTAAATGTAAGAAGTCCTCAACGCAGCCATTCTTCATAAAATCATAGATATTTCAATGTGGCTAAGAGCAAAACATCAACTATACATTGAAGTCTTCACTAAAAGCAAATATTTTCATGGCATTCAAGATGCTGTGAATGAATTTAGCTGTTTGTTAATTCGGGACAGGCTTCTGCCTGCCTAAATTTCTAAACATACCATTTGAGATTAATGTAAGTATTGCATTGTGGTTGACATTCAGTCATCAGAGCTTTCAAAAGTCAGTTGAGTTTGATGGAAGAAGGGAGACTGTGATTGAGAAGTATTTCCCTAACTCTGAATTGTAGTATTGTATTGGTTGTACTTTCAAAATTGTCAATTGAGTTACAGTTAAGTCATGGTTATATTATATCTTTCTTATTTGAGAAGCTGAAATTGTTCCTCAAGTGACATGCTCCATTGTGGCTGTACATTGCACATGGTAAGACACTGACTCCTGATTTTTATATATTAAGCCTTTAAGGCTGATTTGTCAGTGATAAGTTCTGTTTTTAAGTGCTCCGTTTTGCAATTGTAGAAATGCACTAAACTAATTTATATCAAATTAGAAAAAAGGGAACACTTTTGAACCCTGTGATGTCAGCGAAGGTCATCACGACGAACCAATCGGACCATTATGTTTTATCACAGGCCTCCCAAGCTCACGTGTCGAGAAAAAGCAAACGATTAATTCATGAAAGCGTCACGCGTTGTGTGACTCGGTGTTATGTTACAGAAAGAACCGCTCTAAAGAGAAGTACGGGGAAAGAAACATGGTCGATTTGCAGCGATAAATATTTTGAAGTATGAACATTTCACAAGTGAAATCAGTAGAACTTACTCACATCTGGTGTGTCCGTCGTGGTTTCCGGTGTTTTCTACCGTTATAAGCTTGTTTTGCCGTCACTGTTATTCCTGTTCCCCATATACCGAGTCACACAACGTGTGACGCCTTCATGAGTTCATTGTTTGCGTTTTCTCGAAAAGTGAGCTTAGGACGCCGTGGCTTTATCCACTCTGTAGTGACTGGCTGTTTCAGGCCTGCTCTGTTTGTGAAACTGCTCACGTGAAGTCTCGTGCTCCAATCGATCGAGTAGAAGAGGATTACGGGATTTATGGGACGGTATTGAAAGTTACCCACCCCTTCAACCACCCCCCACCCAACTCTCCACGAGGCCTCTATTTCTCATATATCTCCTAATAGTATCTCAAGATTTCCAATTTCCTGTCCTTCCTTCCTTCTCGGACTCTAACCTCCTAATGGTTTTCTGTTAGAAAAGCCTCGGTCAAATTCATCAATTTGCAAACTATAGTGGAAGGGGGACCGTCGGATATTTTTGAATTGTGATTTAATAAGAAACTGTGTTAAGAATCATGATGGAAATAAAAATACTTTTCCTTTTGAACTCTTAGCTTTGCAATGGCTGTATTTAGTTTTTTATCACTCAACTCGACTCACTATCATAGTTTCACAGAAGTTATTCAAATAAGGATTGGCAAAACTTTACATTTGCATTTTCCCTCGGATTTATCATCACGTATGAAAAACTTAATCTGTAATCAAGTGTACTTTCAAGAAGCGGTAACTTTCAGGAAGTCATTTTTTACCCCGACAAGTTGATCACGTGACTTGCGAAAACCCAGTCACGCAAACATTACCTCTTCCCAGATTCCTCGAAAATATCACAGTGAGTATTGTAAGGACATGATTTGATAAGCACATTCCAGAACAAACACGCAGAAAAGCTCTAATTGCCGTGCTTGTTCAAAAAATTCAGGCCTGTACGGGGTTTGAACCCATGACCTCTGCGATACCGGTGCAGTGCTCTACCAACTGAGCTGACAAGCCAACTGGGAGCTGTTCACAGCGTTGGTTCCAAATAAACCCTTGAAGTGGTGAATAAACTGCTGTGGATATATGAAAGTCATATATTCGAACTGCGGGTAAAGACGTGAATATGAAAGCAATCTTCGCAGTAATGGCTTGTTAGCTCAGTTGGTAGAGCACTGCACCGGTATCGCAGAGGTCATGGGTTCATCCCGTACAGGCCTGATTATTTTTTTCAGGCCTTCTTTTCACTACTGCTTAAGTAGTCTTCATTACTGCGAAGATCGCTTTCATATTTATGTTTAATTTATGTTTATTGAAAATTAAAATCTCATTTCTTGAACTAATTTAAGTCTTATCAGTCATTGAAGCACATCGTTTTCTAATTCGATGAGGGAATTTCTTCCGTGATATCTTGAAACAAATCACATTCCTTTTCGGTAATTAGGTAACGGAGTAATATGTGATTATCGTAGTCTATAAACTGTGAGATTTTAAGCCACTAACCTTAAGTCTGATTGTACTTTATACATACTGAGAGATTTTATGCCGTTAATTAACGGCGTAAAATTTTACAGTAAGTTTATTTACAACTTGAAAAGAATTAATTTCTTACAGTTAGTGTATTTGAAATATATTATTTTGTATATATTAATCCATTATTGCAATTATACCAACGCAGATGGTGGCGTATAATCGTTCAGTATGTAGGCTAAGATATTCACATATTATGTTATTATATACATTCCTGTTCCTTTTGTAGTTAGGTTGAAGTTTAATTTGCATTTACTTTTAAAAAGACGTCTTTACCCTTAGTGATATTTGCAATAAAACTTCTAGCAACCCACTGAAATTTTGTAACAGAAAAAATTCTTCCAACTCAGCACAAAACATGTCTCGGTATCATTTCTTGTACATGAATTTAGGCAAGGTGAGAAAAACATTTGGGGGCCAAGTGTGGGTAAAGTATGAGCCACTTGTCAACTGAATATCATCTGACATGCATGTCGGTCAAGAGGCAATGAGTTCCAATGTTTGCCCCGTGGCGATCCCAGAAATCTGTGCGCAAACACAAGGATCCGATTACTGGTAACTCATTCATTGATGTCAGTCAACATGTGGACCGAGTGTTGCTCTACATATCGGCTGATACTCAGTTGTTATATTGACTGTTAGTGTCGGTCGATACCCGTTCAACAGATGCCTTTAGTACACGAGATCAGCTCTTTTTAACTACATATGCCGTACGAAAATTTGGAGCCTGACTGTTCCGGACAGATTACCATTCATAGAGCCATACATCGACACGACATGAGCCGGACAAAAAAATTGTCCTGCCTTTCAACTAATGAGCCAGAAAATGTTACGCTTTTTTCAGGGCCATGAGAGACCAGACAACGCTAACAGGAGCAGGGCAAGAGCAGGACAAGAGCCAGACAACGCTGAATACCTTGAAACATTTTAAGGCAACATATAATTCACCAATGCGCCTGTTTTCAGAGCCTGACAAGGGACTTCCGCGAGCCAGACAAGCACTGTTTTTAAAAATGTTTATCTTGGCGATAATTGGACGGGTATAGGCGGGATAAGGGATTGGACGGGTATAGGCGGGATCATTATTTAGCTCCAGTTAAGAGTCACTCGATGTTGAATCTTTCACCCTTACAAATAGTGGAAAGGAAGTAGCTTCTGAGACAGATATCTCAGCCGTAAATTTGATTGTTAGGTGGTGTTTATTTGCTTGTTCAATGAACCGGTTGACGACGTATCTGTTGGTGAGCAAGAGAGAGTTTAAGTCTCCAAACGAGCGGTTTATTAGCGCCTTTATCTAGGATTTGCACTTCGATTTTAGCCATGAAGATATTTGCAAAAGCTACTGCCGTTTCGGTGCCCATAGGGTTTCCGTGCGTTTGCAAGTAATTTTGTTCGTTGAATTGGGATGAGTTTTCCTGCAAAATCAGTCTAAATGGAGGGGAGGGGTGTATCCGTGCATAAACTCGTAACGTCCATTTAAAAGGGTATCACTTCTACGGAAGAATTTTTTTTTCTATGAAGTTGATGAAGTCTGTTGTATCTTTGAGATGACATGAGCTGTTGGTCCTTCCGTAGGTGGAGTTAATTATCTCACTTGTAAAGACTGTAAACACACCGAGGAACAACCGTTTTTTTAGCCGTCCAGATATGCGTTAAGCAAGTCTTTCCCTTTCTCCATTATGAGAGAACATTATTGACAAACATCCCGTACAGCCTGTCAAAGAAATAAAAAAGAGGAACTGGCTGATATTTACGGCATGCCATATTCTTGAAAGATTCCTTATTTTCTGCTCTTGCTGTTACCATTGGAAAATTTTCTAGCAATGTCAAGACGAGAAGATCCGTGAGTTATTTCTTAATGACTGTTTATAAATTATTTCCTGGTTGCTAGATCGATGTTGCGTTATTGTTGAGGGAAACCAGGTACCGAATTTAATTGAATAAGCGCCCACGCTCCTATAAGCGCCCTCCCCCAACTATTGCCCGCCCCATGTAGTTATGTCAAACAAGTGCTTTTCATGAATAAGCGCCCACCCCCCTCCCCCCCTCCACCCCTCCTTCCTCACTTTCTTGAAAAATGGAGATACAAGGAAAACCTTTTTTAATTACCATTTTATTTATAACTTTTAAGCCTTCAACTACAGCGGAATCAGTGAAGGTTGATAGTTTCTCAATAAGTGGCCCCCTCGATTAAACGCCCTTCTCCCAAAAAGCGCCTCTTCTTTTCTTCGAAATATTAAATAAGCGCGGAAATAAGGTATTTAATGTTCGGGCGGTAGAGGAAGATCTTTCACAAGATATTCCTAGTGCCACATTTACCAATAAAACCTTTTATACTGAGACAACATTGTTTATTATTTCCTATCGGAGGTAGACAACCCTTACATTTTTAACTGCATGCTATCGATGGACTGATATATTAACAGAATAACAGACCCAGTGATAAGAGGTTCTTTTCTAACACTAAGTGGAAGATCAAATTTGAAAATGATAGAGCTGCACTTTAATTGAAAACTAAAACTTGACAATCGGCCAAAAAAGGGGCAACCAAAACCATGCATGAAAACGGATGGATATGTGCGGAGCTTCATCGAAATGTATTATAAAGGTTTTAGGAATGTGATCAGGAGGAAATTAGTTTTTCATTAATTTGAAAGTCGAAGGGAACCGACCACATCTAAGTCGTATTATGAATGTGGAATA